AGGGAATATACAATCTGTGTTGTTTCTCAAACTTAATTATGACAGAACTTCACACCTCCCCCCTTTCTCCTTCTACTGCCGCTCCAGATACTGTTAGGAGGATCCTTTTGGGACATAAGAAATTCTCAAGTATGGAAAAGTCTTTGAAACAAAGGTGAAGATGTTACACAATGTAAATGTTTGTTTATTCAGCAATACTATTTAAAATATGGGAATGATGAGTGCCTGGGTGCCAGTCAGTCAGTTAAGCATCGGACTTGACTTCAGCTCAGATAATGATCTCATTGGTAGTGAGATTGACCAGCAACAGATTCTTCCCTAAGCGTGAAGTCTACTTAAAATTCTCACCCTACTGGGCATCTGGGTGGCTCTGTCAGTTAAGTGTCGTTCTCTTGATTTCAGCTCAGGTCATGAGCTCACAGTTTGTGGGATCAAGCCCCTCATCGAGCTCTGCGCTGACAGCATGGAGTCTGCTAGGGATTCTCTCTCCCTCTCTCTGTCCCTTCCCCAGTCTTTCTCTCTCTCTCTGTCCTCCCCACTCCATCTCTCTCAAAATAAATCAACTTTAAAACATTCATCTTAAAGATTCTCTCTCAAAAATAAAATTAAAATGTGAAAATGCACGAACATAGCAGATCAATTGACTACAAATGAATGGAAGTATGCACCTAATTTTATAAGGTAGATCCCATGCTCACTGTGTCTTTTGAAGCTCCTCACTAGCTAGAGGAATATTATTCAAAAATTACTCAATAAAAATCACTGAAAAATTTGCAAACATCTCTACTCTGATGTATTCATACAGTGAACATCCTTGAGTGCTCTGTCCGTGATTTGGAGTGTATATGGGGCCAACTAGATGTTTAAATCATGGGCTATATTTATCCACTATCAACAAAACAGGGAAATGGAACTGAACCTACTCTTTTCCTTCCCTCCCTATAATTTCCTCTGTTTCTAATTTTGTGGCAATCAAGTTTCAACTAGTTAATCAAATGTCTTTTGTGTGGCAGGTGCCAGGGTGTTTATTTTCATTAGTGTACCAACTGCCATATTTAGGAACTTGGCCTTTTGGTTAACTGGCTACAAGCATGGCTTTAAACCATTAAATGTGTGTATTTAAACTCAGCACTTATTTTTCCATCTCTCTATCCAAAAAATCAGGATGTGGTTATCTGTAAGATGATACAGTATGACTTTTTTACTCTATACACCCAAGCACAAAAATATATGCCTCAGACATAGTCATCAATATTATAAATGTCCATCATCCTGTGCCATTTATAATACTGCAGAGATGAAGAGAAACCTGGTTAGTAAAACACAGATAAAAATAGTTAAAGGAAGTCCACATGGAAAGGCTTATAAAATTGGGCAATTTCACACTTTGTAACCTGTTTTTAACATGATAAAAAATGAGGAAGTGAAAAATCACAATTGCAGTTTATCTTTGATTGAAGAAACCTAGTTTTAAAAAATAAAGATATGCCAGAAATATGAGATCATCTTTAAAATACAGTTAAGGTTTTCATATGTCTTCCTCTATGTTGAAGAAAGTTAAAGAGACATCAGCATAATCAGAAGTAAAAAACAAAAATATGATTCAGTGGCAGATTTTCTAAACAATAGGTGATGCATTTTTTGATGGTATTTTTAACAGATAACTATTACATTCTTTATTGTGATTTTTCTACTGTCTCAATTTAGAGACAGAATCATGATTTATTGTTTTTTGATACTTACAAGAATACTCCACTGAGATATCCATTTGTCAGAAAGAGAACACAGAATTTACTGGTCTCTTCCGGAAAGGTTGGATATAGAGAAGTAACTAGAGAGTAACATTACAAGAGTTAAAAATATTTATTGGTAACCTACCAAAGAACTAGTTTAGACTACATAACATGAAAATTAAAATCATATTTGATAAAAGTTATCAACAACTCTAAAATACTTTATGCCCACATTAAATGTTAATGGATATAGTTAATACACATGCCACTCTGTCTATATAAAACATTTATTTGTCTGTATTCTAGCAGATAATCTTTACTGCTAAAATCCGCACCGAGGTTTCACAATAGCAGTACTATAAGGAAGTGTCATTAAAAAGTCTTCAGTCACACCAAAGCGAATGTAGTTACTAAAGAAATACTTAGTATTAGCTCATAAGTGTTCTTTCTTACAAATTATAAATACTATATGGGATAAAGAAGTTATACACAAATCAGTTAAATTCTCTCAAAGCTCTTTTGCAGTGAGAATTACTCCTTCACTAATATGAAAAATAACGTGCAAGTAGGTGAAATGATGCATATCCAAGGTCACTAATGCTGAAGCCACAAGGAGACTCAAATCCAGTTCTTCAGATCCATCTAAGCATCCTTTCCCTTTTGCTCCCAACAGCTTTCCAAATGATGGTTTTAGGGAGATAAAAGCTCTCTGACACTTCTCATTCAGGGATGGATAGGATGGGGGGGATCCTTCCCAAAGCCACATATTAAGTGGTGAAGTCATACCCATTCCATTGTAACCCACAACCTGTGATCTTCCCTAAATCGGATAAGGCTTTTCCCTTTACCAACGGACAAACTGGCAGCTAGCAGACCTGATATAGATCATAGATTAGCTTTTATTGTCTGTATACTGTTTTTTTAATATAAAAAAATCATAAATATATAAATGACACATCTTTGTGCTTACTATACAGAATTAACAAACGTGCTTTTTAGACACATTTGATTTAAATATGTGTGGATTAAAACTTAGTCCCTATGGGGCGCCTGGGTGGCTTAGTCGGTTGAGCGTCCGACTTTCGCTTAGGTCATGATCTCGCGGTTCGTGGGTTCGAGCGCCGCGTCGCGCTCTGTGCTGACTGCCAGCTCAGAGCCTGGAGCCTGTTTCAGTCTGTGACTCCCTCTCTCTCTGACCCTCCCCTGCTCACGCTATCTTTCTCTCTCCTAGAAATAAATAAAAATCTTAAAAAAAAAAAAAAAAACTTAGTCACTATGTTTCCTCCATAATCCTATTTATTTTTCTCCTTCCACAGAGGTAATCATAGTCATGAATCAAGTTTCATTCATTGATACTTTAACTATATATATAGATTTCAAAATATATAAAATTGCTTTGTGTATCCCAAATTTAGGTAAATGGTAGCGCACCATATATATTCTACAACTTCCTGTTCTGCCCCCACAAAGTGACTTCTTTGAAATCCTTGCATACATACACGTAACATTTAAGTCATTTGTTTCAACAGTAGACACACATGTATTTAAGTCATTTGTTTTAAGTCCATAGTATGAATATACCTCAACTGTTAAACCCATTCCCTCTTGAGTAGAGTCCTTGGATTGGTTCTGATTTTCTACCACTATAAACATTGAGGCTATGAACTTTCAGGTACAGGTCTCCATATAAACATGTAAGAGGTCCCTGGGAATATATACTAAGAAGTGAAATAAATGTGTTATAGGTGGTACATGATCATTTTTAACTTCTCTAGATACAGTTCAATTTTCTCCAAATGATTGTATTCATTTTCAGTCTCACTAGCATCACTTACATTTCTCTGTTTTCAAGCACCATTCTAACATGTGCAATGTTCACTTTGAATTTTTGTCAATCTGACGTATGTCTAAGGGTATATTTCCCTCTCTCTCTCTCTCTCTCTCTCTTTTTTTTTTTTGCATTAAAGAAGTTGCATGTATTTTTGGATGGGGTACTTTGGGATGTTTATTTTCCATCAGGCTATTTCATTTTCTGCAAAATATCCATTCATAACTTTGGCCCCTTTTTACTTAATTGTTAATCAAGTTGTTATTTTTAAAATTTTATTTATCAGTTTTTGAATGGATAAAGAAGATGTGGTATATATAAACAATGAAATATTACTCGGTGATCAAAATAATGGAATCTTGCCATTTGCAACAACGTGAATGGAATAGAGTGTATTATACTAAGTGAAATAAGTTAGTCAGAGAAGGATAAATATATTATTTTACTCATATGTGGAATTTCAGAAACAAAAGCAGATGAACATAGGGGAAGGGAAGCAAAAATAAGATAAAAACAGGGAGGCAAATCATAAGAGACTCTTAAATACAGAGAACAAATTGAGGGTTGCTGGAGGGGTGTTGGGTGCAGGGATGGGCTAAATGGGTGATGGGCATTAAGGAGGGCACTTGTTGGGATGAGCACTGGGTGTGATCTGTAAGTGATGAATCACTAGATTCTACTCCTGAAGCTATTATCACACTATATGTTAACTAACTAGGATTAAACTTTAAAAAGTAAGATTATAAAAAAATATCAGGTTTTAAATTCCAAATGCTGATCTTTATTTTTTATATCATGCTGAAAGTATACTCCATTCTGTACTGTGATTTTGGGGTTTTTTTTTTTGGTTTACTAAATCTTACCATACTGAGATTTTCAATTTTGATAGAATAAAATATGACAAGTTTTTCTATAAGATGTACATCTTTTGAATCTTACTTAAGAAATCCTTACACAGCACAAGGACACAAATACATTCGCCTACTAGATATGTGGTGTTTTTGAAATTGTGAATTTAAATGCTTTCAGACATAGCACATTCTCTCAGGTTCACCACAGAGCCCATTAGACCTTATTTTTTAAAATCTGACCAATTTCATACATTTCCCCTTAGGTATGCAAGGTTGTAATCCTTGGATTAGATAGTCAAAGAATAAAATTACACAAACTAGATTTCCCAAACTTTGATTAGTCTGAATTATGATTATAGCTGTACAACCCCAATCTCGGTCAAAGAAATGATGCCTTGATAGAATTCATTCCAGGAGACTGACAGCTTTTATTAAGCATAATTTAAATTTTGCAGAGATGCACTCTAGCACAGATAAGCTGAATAATTTGGTTTATCACCTGCATTTAACAAGCTTTACAGGAGCTTTTGTTTTCTATCTTTATATGCCAAACTAATAAATATTGACCATGATGTATGTGACCCTCAGATGCTGGACGGGAGATTGGCAAATGCACATTTTATTCTGGCTGTGACATTGATGCTGTGGAGTTCAGGAAAAGTATGCTCAGTGGATGTAGCAACAGAGGTAATGGAAACTAGCTTAAGGGACCATATATGTTTTATGATCATAAGCCATTTCTACTAATGTCAGAAGCAGATGCTGCTGACAAATCGATGTCTTAATAACACAAAACTGATGAAAAATATATTGTTTTCTACTGTCTTGACCTCACTGTAGATTCAGAGAAGGTGAGTTATCTGAATGTCAGAAAATAACTGGAATTAATAAAGATTAGTGATTGGGGAAGAAAAAAAGCATAAAAGAAAAGATATTATCTTTTCATCCATAGTTTTAATTAAATCAATTACATCAAGATGAAGTGCTTTTGGGTGAAATTTGAAGGTGTTACTGGTCAAAATTTGAGTAGCTTTGGTCAAACTTTGTATTACTGTACAAATGTTTTCTTGCTACCATGACTAAAGCACAAAGAAAAAGAAATGTGAGGACATCTCCACACAGAGAAACATTAATTTGGTTATTTGATCTTATTAGAAAATAGTCCTTGTACTTCTTAAATGTTTTTGCCCTTTGAAAGTTTATTTCCTGCTCTTTAGAATTTCTTTCTCAGAAGAGCATCTTTCCCTTTCCCAGTTTCTATGTTGTCAGGCTTATGTGGGGTAGTGATAGATGTTGAGATTTTAAGAGGAGTTTAGGACACATTGTGGAGTTTGCAATGCAAATAACAAGAGCTATGAGAGATTTCTTATTTTATTTCTGCAAGATGAGAGGGTGTTTGGAATAATTAGCTTCATGGCAGTATTCAGGATCAAATAGAAATGGGAGAGATAGAAAACAGAGAAGCAGGTTATAAGGTGACTAAGAATGTACACTAAGCAGTGAAGAGGAGCTGATATAAATTACTACTTATGGGAGTCAGATAGAGCAAAAGAGGGTCACCCAGGTGGTTCAATCTGTTAAAGGTCCAGCTCTTGATTTAGGCTCACGTCATGACCTCACTGTCATGAGATCAAGACCCATGTCAGGCTCTGCACTGGGCATGGAGCATGCTTAAGATTCTCCCTCTCTGAGATGTAGGAGGGAAGGAAGGAAAGGGAAGGGAAGGGAAGGGAAGGGGAGGGGAGGGAAGGGGAGGGGAGGGGAGGGTAGGGGAGAGGAAGCGGGGGAGGGAGGAAGAGGTTTTCGAGGAAGAACTGTCCAGACTTAGTGTAGATTTGGGTTAAGAAAGAGAAGGCTCAGTAGCTTTGAGTGTCAGACTATATGTATAATTTCATAAGAGAGTTGCTGGAGCTTGTGATGAAAAGGCTTGGAAAGATGCTACTCTTTCATTTTATTGGGGAAAATGAAGAACATAAAAATGGAGGAAACAATCTAAGAAGAAAGACAGGAAGTGAAGAAAAAGAGTCTTACCAAGACCAAGGGTCTGGCACAAGGAATGTGATTAACAAGGGGGCAGGGAAGAGGTCCCTGGAGCTGCCTTTTCCCACAGGGGAATATTCTCACTTTCTTAGAAAAGAAGTAATATCCCCCAGACTTCACAATGACTAGAGACCATTAATAGGAACATTTTTTAAAATGCTGTGATTGGGCTTAAGAAAGGAAAAGACAGGCTTCATAAATGACACCCACACTTCTATGACTTGAATGAAGTGTAAAGTGTCAAAATGTGAAACAAACAAATAAGAAATTTTACATGAGACGTCAAAGTCATTGGGATATTTCTGACTCACTGTAGACACTCATTAAGAGTGTGGTAATAAATCACATGGGAAGAGATAGTAAGCTTCCTGAGGACAGAGAGTGGATTTTATTCATTTTTGTGTCCTCCAGGCCTGATGCAGAAGCTGGTACATAGCGGATGCTAAGCATAGCTTGAATCAATAAGGTACGAAGGAAAGGTGAAAAGAAAACAATGCAAGGTTTTTTCAAAATTCACATCATAAACATTCAGATATCTACTGAATACAAACTATGAGCAAAAAGTGGCCTAAGCATTGAAAAGAGCAAATAAAAGACTAGTTTAGACACAGTTATTGCCCTCAGGTTACTCACAAATTAATAAGCAATACAAATACATTGTAATCAATCTAACACAAGGGAAAATGTAATGTGTACAATGATGAAAGAAGTATAGATGGTTCTATGGGAATGATTAGGAAAGATGCAGTTGTTACTGGCAAAGAGCCTAAAAGAATGCTCAGTTAATATACTAAATTTTAGAAGCAGAGCTATAATTTTTCCTTTATTTCCTGTGTGTGTGTGTGTGTGTGTGTGTGTGTGTGTGTGTGTGTGTGTGATGTTGTTATTGTTTTCATTGCTTTTGGACGTACCTCGTCTCTATACATTTTTGTTCCCCAAAGTCTTTCTCTTGGGAGCATAAATCCACACGAAATCAAGCCATATGACATGACAGGCATGTCAGCTAAAGGTAGCAAAAGCCAAATGCAGATGGTTATACATTTTTGAGGCTTCTTTTCTGAACGAGTGGAATCACCTTTCCTGCCCCACAGGCTTTTGATTCTGGAGTCATAGATGTGCAGTCACCACCCACAGTCGGGGAAGAGAAATCAGCCACTAATCTGGTAGCAAAAATCTTGCTTCTTGATGAACTTGTGTCCCTGGAGAATGATGTAATTGAAACAAAGAAGAAAAGGAGCTTCTCTGGTTTTGGGGCTCCTTTGGACAGACTCTCAGCTGGCTCTGCCGATCATAAAGGTAAACAGAGGTAAGTGAACTCTTGAAGTAGGAACATTTTTATTCTTTAATTCTGCCACTCTAACTCCAGAAATAGAGTTCCACACAAGATAATGAAAACCTTAGAGGTAAACATATTTGACAGTGTTTTAGCTAACTTATGAGTTTAATAGCGTGATTTGGAAAATAACTGCTGAGGAAGTAAAATGACTGGACGGTATGCATGAATATTTTTGTCATACTTTCCTGAGGAAGATTCCATTGCATGCAAATGTCAAATAGTTATTATAAGATATTACAGATTTGGGAGGTGAAGGAGGATGTGTGTCTATGGGATAAATGGTCTGGTCATTTGAGTCTTCCATTTGATGGAGGTAACCAGAATACCATTTCTATTTTTACCCTTATACAAAGCTTTCCAGAATGTGTGAATGAATCCACTCTCATATACCAACAGGTAGTGAAGATCTCTCAGGCCTTGGAATAAGAATATGTGTTTAGGGGTCACCTGGGTGGCTCAGTCGGTTAAGTGTCCGACTTTCGCTTAGGTCATGATCTCGCGGTTCGCGGGTTCGAGCCCCGCGTCGGGCTCTGTGCTGACTGCCAGCTCAGAGCCTGGAGCCTATTTCAGTCTGTGACTCCCTCTCTCTCTGACCCTCCCTGCTCACGCTGTCTCTCTCTCTCTCCTAAGAAATAAATATAAAAAAAAAAACATTAAAAAAAAGAATATGTGTGTTTAAGTCAAATTTCTGATCTTTTGTAGCCCTATGACTTTTATAAGAATCTCAGCCTCTGTGATCCTCAGCTTATTTATCTGTAAAATGGGGATGATGACTTAACCTCCATAAAATTCAAATGATTAGTTTGTAATGATATTGGAATTAGAATAATTAAATCACTCTTTAATCACTGAATAACTATCAGTAATTTAAAGCAGTTGTTTCAAAGTTAATTCCTTTTCTACCTCAGTCTTTGTTCCTCATGTTATACATTTCATATTAGAAATGCACAAGCGGACAGTCAATTACCAAGATCAGGAATCTGAGGAATTTACCAGTATTCCTTTTGCTTACTTTTAGCATTCCATTTTTCATAAAATTCTTTAAATCTTAAATTGATTTAAATTATTTAAATCCTATTTGTTTTGTATCTTAAATATCTCCGGAATACCCTTTCCCATAAAGGCTTTCCTAATTCTGGTCTAAATCATTTTTTTAAACTTTTTTTTCCTCCAGTCTTTTTTCATCTCCACTTCTATTACTGTCACTATCTCTTTAGCACCAATGTACCCTCTACCTAGCTACCAGGGGCATCTTTTAACACAAAAGTGTTTTAGTGAAATGATCCCATTGCTTACAAGACAGAAGAAAACTGCTGAGCAAACCCTACAAAGACTGTCATTATCTGGCACTTTTTCATGCACTCAGTTCTGTGTCCTTTGCTCCAGTCTTAGGTGCTTACTTGGAGTTCTAAGATTTGTCATGTTTGCTCATAATTTCATGACTTTGCTATGTTCCATGACTTAGCATGCAGGGTGCAATTTGCTGGACTTCTGAGAGTCTCAGAGCTACGTGAAGAAATAAAATTACCACTTGGGGACTGTAATTTATCCTACTGTGCTTGGAAAATAATCCCTCACCAAGGTTTTGAAACTCAGACTCTATTTTAAATAAACAGATATAAATTAATTCCATTTATGTTCTAAGCATTGTGTTGGGTTCTGAAGGTAAAGAAGACGGAAGTATACAGTCTCTTTCCTTCATAGAAATTATGTACAAATAAGAAATATGAAAATACTTATAATGAATTACAATGCAAAACAAGAGATATGTTTCTAGACCAATGTATGAAGATGGCCATGGAAACTCAAGGAATAAGTGAAATGTTAGAAGAGAAAATATTATACCTCCTAATAAATGTTATGTTTTTGATTCCTGGATCTTGCCACATAGTCTAGTAAATAATTGAAAAATCAATATATAGATGTTATATGTAAATATTAAATATAAATTCATAATAGCATAAACACAAGCCATATATACCAAAAACATATTGCATCAATATCATAAATACATATAATTCATTTTGAGGCTTCATCCAATCAACTTCTTTAGGCAGTATTGTAAGGGGAGACTATGTTGTGAGATATAATCTATCTAACCTAGCTCTGCTTACAAGAAATAAAGGGAAATTGGCAAGCCCATTTAATACCCATTTGAACAGATTTCACACATAAAGGCTACAAATAAACTGCTATAAACATTGAAAAACTTAGGGAATATTTTTCCCAAGAGCACTCCTCGAGACAGACACTAGGTGAGGGTCTTTGGACATCAGGAATGACTGGAGAGGTATCATCATAAGAATTGGTGGGAGCATAACTGTAGAATTTAAGGGAAATCATGGTTTCAAGGAAAAAAGAGCCATGTGATTATATAGTCCATGATTATATAGTCTGACAGTATAGATCCATAAATAACTAACAATTCAGGAACAATACTGAGAGCATATACAACTTAGAATGAATTTTGATTATTTCACATCTATTAACTGAGAATCAAAGTTGTCACTACAAATAGTTACTTGGAAACATGGAGAAGGGAAAAAAGGCTTACACACTAAATTAAATGAATATTTTACTGAAGAATAAAAGAAAACAACTGAACAGAGCAAGGACAGAGATTTTCATATTAAAAATTAAAAAAATTAAAACTTTCTTATAAAAAAGAGCATAAACAATAAGGAATATTGGCATTGTTATAACTTGATATAAAATATTGGCATATGTAAATATAAGATTTATATTTATCTAACATATATCTAACATAGTATGATAGATTCAGAATATACTGATTATATCAATAAATAAATAATTTAATAATTAGTAATTAATAATTAATAAATGTCCATAGATGTAACTTGTCTATGAAAATGCAAGTATTTTGAGGGTGCCTGAGTGGCTCGGTCAGTTAAGCGCCCAACTTTTGATTTTGGCCTGGGTCATGACCTCATAGTTGATGAGATCCAGCCCAACTGGCACTCTGCACTTTACATCGTGGAACCTGCTTGGGATTCTCTCTCTCCCTCTCTCTCTGCCCCTCCCCTACTCCCACTTGCTCACACACTCTCCCTCTCTCAAAATAAATAAATAAACATTAAAAATAATTAAACAAACCAACAAATAAATGAGATGCAAGTATTTGCAGATTGGCTGATAAGGGTAAATCCAACTCTTTTGTGTATTTAAAATATATAACTAAATTAAAGATATATAGAAAGGTTGGCAATAAAAAAATGGACAAGTTATACCAGGAAAAATTACGTTAAAACAAAATAAAAACATAAAAAAAGAAATAAATAAAATTTAAAAATAGTGTAACAATATCAAAGAGAAGCCACAGGTAATGCTAGGATATAGAAAGAAACATATTAAGAATAGGAGACTTGAATTAATTTTTTAAAATATAAGGTAGATTATATATTTAAAATTTAAAATATAATCCATAAAATAGAATTTGTAGATCTATTTGGAACTCTGAACTTCAACAAAAAATATAGCATCTTCTGAAGTGTATATGGAGTATTCAAAAAATTTACCATATCTGAGGTGACAAACAAACCCTCTAGGAATTCTAAAGAACAGATATTTTAAAAAAGCATTCACTGACTGAACTAGTCAGTGAGCTAGTCTAGTTCACAGTGAAACTGAACTTAATAACAAAACTAGAAAACAAGAAGTCACTTTTTCCTAAAATTATAGACCATGTTGCTAAACAGCTATGGGGCCAAAGAAGAATACAAAATAAAATTACAGTTTGTTCAAAATAATAATGAAAATGTCATATTGGGGCAGATAAAGCAAATATCAGATAAAAGTCACCATTATACAAATAAAAATACAAAGTAGAAATAAACCAAAATGACACAGAAAAACATCTACAAAGAACAGCAAAGTAAGTGAAGAAAATCCATGAGATAGAAAAGTAGAAGCTAAGAATATTGAAAAAAGCTGAAATTAATGTTTGTAAAACAAAACATATAAATGTATAAAAAATAAATGTAAAACTGTGTTTTTTAAGAAAAATACAAGCCACTCATCAACCTAACCTAATTAAGAAAAAAGTAGAAAGCATAGGTTAGAAGTGACAAGATGGAAATACCAAATTAGAGAATCTTTAAAAAGAGAACTGATTTGCTCACCTATACACAAATAAATTGAAGACCTGGAAAATGAATAAAAGTTTGGAAAAATATAATTTGCAAACAATGACCCCAAAAGAGACAAATAGTTAAATTACCATGGAGATTTTTTTTTTTAATCTAAAAAGAGCTTGCCAAGAGAAAGTAGATCTAGATATTTTCATATGAGAATTTTACCAAATCTTAAGGTCAGATAATCCCAAGGTTATTTTACCTTTTCAGATCATAATAAAGTAAACTTTCTAAGTTCATTTCCTGATACAAGTAATATTGATCCTCAAATAACAAACATTAGATTTTTAAGAGGAAATTTTAGACTCATGTCATATACGAATATCAGCGCAAAAAGCAGAAATAAGAAGTTAATAAATAGACTTTAAAAAACTTTAAAAATATGATACATCTTAACCAATTGGGCTTATTCCAGGAAAGTGTCACTCAATATTAGGAATTCCTTTCATGTAATCCATCATATCAATAGGGCTATGGATAAAAAACATATGATCATATACTTAGATGGCAGAAAATGCATTTGACAAAATCAAACATTTATTATATTTTTAAAGGTACAACAAAATGAGAACTGACAGATACTTCCTTAACATGATATTTGTATATGTGTGTGTATGTGTGAGTATTGTATGTATACCGCAGCCCAAAGCCGCTATCTTACCTAATGGTGACATATATAGGAAGTTTTACTAAAGTGAGGAATAGGAAAACCATGCCCATTATTTCTACTATAATTTAGAAATGCATTTAGACAAGATAAAACATTTAGAGACATAAGAACTGAAAAGAAAGAAGTAAGACTATTTTTATTTACAAATG